GTATTCCACTACAGATTACAGAATACATGCCCCAAAATGTATTTTGTAACGTATTCCGTTATGTTACTCAATGAGAGTAACGTCTTCTGAATACTTTGGATTACTTAATATATTATTATGCTTTTTTACAACTACATGAATGTGATTTATTACTATTACTGAAGGTTACTCGCCATACCAATACGGACCAGATTTTTAAATCTTAATATAAAATGAGTAACAGTAGGTGGACATTAGGTCAGGCTGCAGTTTTTGCAGCGATCCCGTATAGTAAACTATTCCGCGCGTATATAAAACAGGTCCGAGGCTCTGAACCGTAGTAAAGGGACCTCTGGCAAATACATCAGGTTCATGTCGGGCTCGTAGCCGAAAACCATCTTTACTTTGTTGTCTGGGTCAACTTTGCTAGCGAGAGACAGAGAGAGGCGTTGAAAGGCTGCTCCAAAGGAACTTATTGTTTCGGAGGAAAACAGAACAGTGTTCAGTCGAGTCTTAATAGTTAACTTACAGCTGGGCTCGTCAGGCACTCCTTTTGGCTGCAGTGGTTATTATTATATTTACATGCTTCCAGCTTTCGGCTCGGTGATAACTCGTACTTTTCCACTCTCCTTTTTCTCCGTCCCTCTCGCTCACAGACACATAACGGGTATGGCAGTCCATTTTCCCTGCAGCACAGACTACACTGCCCATGAGGCTACTTTCTTTAGGGCTATGCCTGTAACACTCTGCCTATTGCATTCATGTTAGAGAATTTAAAAAAATATTTCTTCACGTCATCTTAATGCGTGTTTTGTTTGCATTTCCACCGGTGTGGAATTACCAAAAATAGAGAGGGCATAGCCTAACATATGAAACAGGAAAAAACCACCGTGTAATCCATTTATTTCAACAAAGTAACTGTATTCTCAATACCACCTTTTTAAACGGTAACTGTAACGCAATACAGTTACTCATATTTTGTATTTTAAATACGTAACGGCGGTACATGTCTGTGACGGTTCTCAGTCATCCAGGTCATCGTAGTCTAAGGAGCTTGGAAAGAAAAGCTCATGTGATTAGGTAGAAGATCATCGGGGGTCCCTTGTCCCTCTTTGGGGGGAAACTCCCACTGGGTTTTAAATCTGGGACTCTCCACCCTTGACCCTTAGAACTGAAGAAGCTTCTCGGATGAGAGGTGAAACGTCTTCAAGCAACTCAAAGAAGTCCAGACGCTTTTCTTTCCAAGCTCCTTAGACAACGGCGGTACATGTATTCCGTTACTCCCAACACTGTGTGAATTATACTTCTTGTTTTTTTAAAAGGCCCATGCAATCATATTAAAATGGTTTTGTGATACATGAAGATGCACTGATATATGCTCAAATCCACAAATCTCTAAGTCTCCCTTGATATATATATTTTTTTTTCTTTCAGGTACGATTCATCTAAAAGCATGGAGAGCCTGGAGGACACGTGGATTTCTCAAGCTAACGCGCTGCAGAGAAGGGGTCGAGCAGGTCGTGTGGCCTCGGGGGTCTGCTTCCACCTCTTCACCAGCCACTGCTTTAAACACCAGCTGGCTGAGCAGCAGCTGCCTGAGATCCAGAGAGTGCCACTAGAGCAGCTCTGTCTCCGGTAGAGCCGTCTGTTTTTCCCACATAACTCTGACTATAAAATGCAAATGGAATTTGATTTGGAGAAATTCCAAAACGGTTGTTCACAACACTGACCTTTCTGTAACAGAATCAAGATCCTGGATGTGTTCGCGGAGCAGCCGCTGGAGTCAGTCTTCTCTCGGCTCATCGAGCCCCCGTCAGTGGGAAGCTTGGACGCTGCCAAGCAGCGCCTTCAGGACCTGGGAGCTCTGACCACAGATGAGAAGCTGACCCCGCTGGGCTACCACCTGGCCTGCCTGCCTGTCGACGTGCGCATCGGAAAGCTCATGCTGTTCGGCGCCATCTTCCGCTGCCTTGACCCAGCACTCACCATTGCTGCAAGTCTGGCCTTCAAATCCCCATTTGTAAGAAGGCGCTAGTTTCTGTTGAGAGACGCTATGTGCAGTTCATCTGCAGCATGCCCCTGATTTTAGGCTCATTAACAATTACAAGTATAGTACACAGCGCAGTAATGAGCTGCTTCATCTTTTCTGTTGGTTTTTAACAGATAGGAGGTTACATAATGACATTTATTTGTTTATTATGTATATTTGTAATGCAAGTGTCTAATTCTATGGAAATGAAAATCTGGTCTGCTTCCAGGTGTCTCCATGGGATAAGCGAGAGGAAGCAAATAAAAAGAAAGTGGAGTTTGCAGTGGCTAAAAGTGACCATCTAGCTTTGTTGCAGGCATACAAGGTCCCTACTGCATTCGCTTATTGTGATAAGATAATTCAAAGATGTTGAAATACATACAGATAATATAAAAACTTTCTTTTTTTTTATGCAGGGATGGTGCTCCGCAGCAAGGAATGGCCACCGTGCCAGCTTCCTCTACTGCAGGGAGAACTTCCTGTCATGGCGGGGTTTACAGGTGAGGCAGTGGTGTCCAGAAGCACTTAATCACTTGTCCAGAATCAATAAACTCCCTTGCTCTACAGTATAATTCTGATCTTCTCTGTTTGAATATAAATCTAAAGCAGTGCTAAAGCTTATGAAGTTCTTCCAATGTATTCAGATTTAATTTCAAATGGCCCGAGCAGTGCGTTTTATATGAATAATATTTGAAATGGTGAATTGTGACCTTTGGCAGGAGATCGCCAGTCTGAAGAGGCAGTTTGCTGAGCTGTTGTCTGACATTGGCTTCATCAAGGAGGGACTGAAGGCCAGGATTATTGAGCAAATGTCTTACAAGGGTACAGACGGGGTCATGGAAGCTACTGGCCCTGAGGTGACACATACAAATCACTGAATCAGTGATTCAAGGGTTCATCTTGGAGAAAATAATTCAAAAATTCTAATATTTTGCATCTCAGGCAAACCTAAATTCCAGTAACATCCGGCTGATGTCCGCCATGCTGTGTGCTGCCCTCTATCCTAACGTGGTCCAGGTGGGCATAGTCCCCCTCTTTGTCATACAAGTAAAGAACAGAAAGCCAAACAGAAGTATGAAACATTCACACTTGATGTCCTGCAGGTACGAGCTCCTCAAGGGACTTATAAGAAGACGGGCACGGGAGTGATGAAGATGCAACCCAAAGCCAACGAGCTCCGCTTTGTGACCAAGAACGACGGTTACGTCCACGTGCATCCATCATCCGTCAACTACACGGTGAGGTTAGGGGGGGAAAAAAAGATACGCTCCAAACTAAACAACTTGTAGGAGAAATAAGCCTCACCTTTCTGTTCTTTATGCACCAGGTTCGCCACTACAACAGCCCGTACCTGGTTTACCATGAGAAGGTGAAAACGAGTCGCGTTTTCATCAGGGACTGCAGCATGGTGTCTGTTTACCCGCTGGTGCTGTTTGGATGCGGACAGGTCAACGTGGAGCTGCACAGAAGGGAGTTTGTCATCTCCCTGGATGATGGGTGGATCCGATTTGCTGCTGCTTCACACGAGGTCAGAGAATCTGATATTTTTTGGGGGTTTTTGATCACATGATCAAAAAGTTATAGCTGGCTCAGAGCTTAGTATTGCAACGGGCGTACAAGCTGTGTAGAGTTTATATGCTTTAAAGGTTTAACAAGTTTTATGGAGAGTGCAAGCACGACAACTGAACAACTACAACATATAAGTTAACATACATGTTACTACATGTGCTTGTGTGACTATATCCAGGTGGCCGAGCTTTTGAAGGAACTGCGCTGGGAGCTGGACCTGCTTCTGGAGGATAAAATCAAAAACCCGAGCATGGACCTGTGCAGCTGCCCCCGTGGCTCCAGCATCATACAAATGATCGTCCACCTCATCTCTACAGAGTAGCTCTGCTACTCAAAGCTTCCTTTATTATTTCTTTATTTAAAGGGCTCAGATGCATGGAGCCCCAGTGATAATGTTTTTGTGCTCCTGCATCACTCCCACAAAGTCTTTATTAAAAATTCTTTAAAAAGTCAATATTACTGCATTGATGGTGGATAGTCAGAGGAAGATTAGCTGGGCAAATATTTGACATGAGCTCAGTTTCAGTACACCACAGTGTTGCCACCTTACTCTTAAAAGTGTTGTTTTCCACTGAGTTGCTGTTGCACTCAAGGTTTTTAAAGCAAATTCTGCCTTTAAAGAAAAAAATGTCTCTATGCAGGTGATTATTAAGATTCCACTCTTATTCCTGCTGGACTAAAGCAGCTAATGCTTCGTTCAGTTTTTGATGTCATACTACCGCTGCATGGTATGTGCACATAAATTGGCACATGATTGGTTGTTAAGTGATGTCACAGAGTTTGTATACAGTGGTTTTTTTATTTTGGGTTGTGTCTTGCTCACAACTGAGAAGTTTCTTGGGTCCATATTGGATTTTGTACTATGAGTTTATTTGTAATGCATGACTAAAAGATCCAAGAGCTTCTGCATGGTATACAGTTGGTGTACATTTACTGAATGTATTTAAATGTTAAAGTACAATTTCACAATGTGAATGCAAGGGCTTTTTACACCAGGATGATTTGGTGAGAGCTGCCAAAGAAACTGGAAAGCTACTGTCTTAACATGAATTCCACTGAACGCTGCACTACCATTAAATTATTGCGATGATAACCTGTTGTTCGCCGTTTTTCTTCCTTACTTAATGTAAGCGGTGTGTGCTGTTTGATGCCCAGCTGTGTCTCAGATACAGCAAAAGAATTTAAGCTCTGGTGGAAGGCCAACCCCTTCATACATGAGCAAGTCCGGTCTGTTTCTACGACAACAGGATGTAAACAGATGGGGTATCACTGTCACCGCTGAAGCCATTCGAGTGCCATTTAAAGTGCCAAGGCGAGAGCTGGTATGAAATGATTGTATTTTATTATCATTTTAGGCACTTTGTCCTAAAAACTTTAAATCTTTCTTGGCAGAGAACCTGATTTCTTGTTTTACAGATGAAAATCTGATCACTTCTGAAGCAAGATTGACATTCGCTATGGTAAAGTAAAAAGTAAAAAAAAAAAGACATTTATATATTTATAGATGAGTGATTAAACCACGTATTTTCTCCAAAGCCCACCAGGAAATCAAGATCCCACAGTTCCAAGTCAGCCAAGAAGACTATGAGCCCAAAGACACCTAAAAAGAGGTCCTCATGTAGTGCCAAAGTCACCACAACCGAGGTGGACATCCTCAGCCCAGCAGCCATGGAGAATATCTACTACATTGCTCACAATGCAGCAGACTGCCTGGCGTTCAGAGGATTTGGGTGGCCAAATTCAAAGAAGAAAAAGAAGGGGACAAAACAAAAGAAAAACTGAATCATCAATTTTGCCAAAGAGAATTTTAACTGCCTTCCAATGGTGACACCTACTGGATGGATTTGAGATGACAGTTTGAGTGTGAGGCACTAAATAATTAATTCTAGTAAAACTTACTGCATGAGACTTCACAGGACTTCATTATATTCAACTTTATTGTATGGTTCAGAATGATGTTTGTACAACAACAATAAAAACTTTGGCAGTTATTGTGAGGTGTGTGAAGGAAAATCTTTATTAACTTTAACTCTAAAATCTGTGGACATATTGAATAGCTTGAGTGCATAACAAAAATGGTCAACCAGCAGTACCATGAAACTGGAATTAAAATGATCCCATTAGTTTTTTTGTAATATTCTTTAAATCCAGTCTTTGCACTATTTACCTTAGAAAACAGTTTACAAAGAGTATGCTTCTAAAACTAAGGGAAGAAAAACACTGTTCCAGGCACGGCTTATATTTTCATATACATCTAACATGGTCAACTCTTTTATCAAGTGTACAACCATGACATCAAAATAAGCCTTTAAAATAAATAGTTTCTCTGCAGAGGATGGCCATTCTTGCTTGCAACACGGTCCCACTTTTCTCACTCTGGGGGCTTCTTCTTGGCTTCCACATCTTTCTTAAAAGCTTCGATTTTCTTGGCTATGTTGGGCACCTAGAGGAGAAAGATACAAATTACAACTACCAGTAATAAAGTCTGAGAAATGTATAGGTTGTGGTTTGTTAGAGGCACCAAACTAAAACTAATGTAGTGTAAATTAACTGATCTAAAGTACATTTTTCATTTAAAAAAAAAAAAAAAATACAACATTCAGATTTTTGCTGTAAGCTTCAAACTTAAATATCTATTGTAGCCATCTTACAAAGGTGGGAGATAATATATATACTGCCAGGACTGCAGAAAGTGGCACTGAACATGCAGTTGCAAGAAAATATTTGAACCCTTTGGAACAACAAAGATTACTCAGAAAATGTGTTACGATCATCTCAAGTCATAACTTTTACAGCACCTTGGTCATTTTGATCAATTGAGGTAGTTTAAAATGTACTATAGAAATTGAACTTGACAGATTGTAGATGTAAATAAAGACATTCAAAGTCTGGTTACAGACGATTAAATACGGACCATTTACAACAAGGAATGGTAATGATGGAAATCTTTGAAATATTGCACAACTTGCACTGCACACCAACACACTGAAGGGAACAACATGGTTTAAAGCTGCTTTTAGGGAACAATAAATTTAAAATTGTATCAAGAAAATTCAGAAAAAAAAAGAAAAAAAAAAGTGTAGAGACAATAACCCAAATCCCACAAGTAAACCAACCAGAGTCCAGATCATAATCCAACTGAGATGTTCTGGTTGTTCAAAAAAAGACATTCAAGAAACACAAAGAATGCAAAAACTTGAAATGTGCACATATACCGTGTTTGTGTTTTAATAGCTCAGTCAGGATGCGCTTCTATACATAAATAAAGGCAACGACCTTACAAAACTGCAGTTTCACACATCAGTCACTGAAGGAATAAAAGGCTCCAGCCAGCATCTATTCACACCAGATACGTTTTGGTTCGGGGTTAGTGGAGCCCATGGGTTAAAGTGACATCTTCACTAAATCATTGGAAAAAAAAAAATGGTTTGCAAGTCACAAAACACACTTACTTCATAGTTCTGAGCGAGATACATCCCCACAACATTTCCCAAGGTGAAGCCAGCCTGGAAGAAAAACAAAGTTCATTAAAACCCTTTAAACTAGTGTGAAAAAAACAACAACAATTTCACAGGATTCCACAACGTTCTGTGAAAAACTAAGCACACCCCATTCAATAGCCCGTAGAACCAAACAATAACTTGAAGAACTTGTATTCTGTATGACTTTATCAGTCTGTCACATCGTTGTAGAGGAATTTTAGCCCACTCCTCGTCACAGCGTTGCTTCACTTTATTGAGGTTTGCTGACAATCGTTTGTTCACAGCTCTCTTAAGGTACCATCACCGCATTTTAATCAGGCTAGACTTTAACTGGGCCATTTCATCACATTGAGTAATTCTGTTGTAGATGTTGTAATGACTTCACGCTTCCAGGTACTGTGGCTGCAAAACAAGCCCAGATCATCAGCCCTCCCCTGAGTAATTCCAGTTTCTCTAAGCACTGCACGGTCTGACCTTGGGTGATTTTGCTGGATGATTGTGGCATTGTGAATGCTCTAGAGCAGAAATCTGCCAAACTTCAAAGTTTACACTTCTTGATGATAAATTAATAAAGTGGATTTGACTTGCACTGACAACTACCATGGGATGGATGGATAGATGGATAGATTCTTTGTGGTGGTTGACAGTGACATTTATTCCTAATCATGAAACTCAGTTTCAATTTCAATCCAAACTAGCAGCACTAGCTGCACGGTTAGCATAATGCTAACATTTTTATCTCGGCTAGCTTCGCAACAGACGTCAACTTTTAAGGAAAATAATACAAATATAAAACTTACCAGGAACTGCAGCATGATGAAATACTGAAGACACTAGAGGTAAGCAAACTAACTCAATAGTACAAAAGCATGCAGGCAGGCCAAAGTTAGAAGGAGGGAAGTAGCCGAGTTTCTTGGCGAATGAAGCTAGCTTTTTATCAACAAAACATCTACGCATGCGCAAGACAACTAATTGTGGCGTCATTTTCAGCGTCTATATGATGTAGTCTTTTCCTTATCCTGAGCCATACGTTTTCGAACATTGGAGAACTACAACTCCCAGAACCCCACAAAATCTCTCAGCCGTCTGGTGGGTGTTGTTGCAATGGTGGTGTCGGAGGGACATTGAATGACTTTGGCTCCATCACGGAAGAAATACGGGTTTATTAGGTTAATTCAGCATTCACGAGCATGGAGGCTCTTATACCCGTCATAAACAAGCTCCAGGATGTGTTCAACACAGTAGGGGCGGATATTATCCAGCTGCCGCAGATTGCAGTAGTGGGGACTCAGGTAAAAGGCTGACTGGGTGCATTTTGCTCAGCAGGCTGTCATGCTAGCCAGATAACCTTGTTTTAATGATATACATGTATGTAGGAGGACTAAGAGAGTAGCATTTACTACACCGTGATACCGATTCGCATATCAAAATGACGCAAAGGCCGTGTCTGGGAGTTCTGCTAAATTGTCACTTCTTCTTTTTGACAGCTAATAAACAGATACGCAGAGTCTGACCTAACGAGAGCAATTAAGTCTATTTTGATCACCATTAATTATCTCCACATCCTCATCTAGCTTCTGTAGACTAGAACTAGGACATAGCCCGAGGAAGAGGTAGAGGTAGTTTGCTAAAAAAAATATTTTAAACCCCTGGTTCCATATGTGTTTGAAATTCGTAAATCTTACCCATCACAAATAACTAAAAAAAGACACCTAAGCTATCAAAGAATGAACTAAAAGTAAACATTCTTACCGATTATAAGCTGCTACTACATACAAGCTTGTGCTAAAAGAGGAAGTTCCAAATAACAAGGTTGTATGTACAGGTAGACTGGATGAACCAAATTTCCTGGTTAAATGCTCCATTTCCTGCTGCCTCACTGACCTGATATTCAAATCTTTTGTTTGCAAGGTGCAGCCAGTCAGGAGATTGGCCTTAAAGAGAGGGGAGCTAAAACGGCTTGTTTCAGACAGTAGATGAACTGAAGAGCTACATTAAGGCCCTGTATAGGCGAAATAAGGATAAATTGTGAATGATGTAAAGCTACCAAGAATTTAAAAATGGGGTTGGAAAAGGGCATAATAGGTCCCCTTTAAACAATGAAACTGAACTATAACAAGCCAACTCTCTGGTGCTTTAACTCATATCTTTTTTTTTTGATGCACTTCTGCCTGCAGAGTAGTGGAAAGAGCTCTGTGTTGGAGAGCCTGGTGGGCAGGGACTTGCTGCCCCGTGGGACTGGCATTGTAACCAGGAGACCTCTAATCCTCCAGCTAGTCCACGTGGATCCTGGAGACACAAGGAAACATGATGAAGGTGGTATGTACTATGAACTGTAATAACCCTTTTTGGTCTTTAAACTTTTTTCTTTTTTTTAATACAACGCACACACACACACACACACGCGTGCACACAAGGGGGAATGCAAACACATCCTTGTAATCTTTAGTATCCTGTGTGAAAGATTCCCTGCCCCAGTTTTAAAATCCTGTCTCTATCACTGTCTTCCAAACAACTTGCAGATGTCATGGTGTGAAAAGCACTGTACTTCAAGGAGGTGCATTGTACAGGTGTCTTAATGTTTAGTAACCTACATCACCTTCTTAGCTCTACCCTCTCCTCCTCCTCAAAAGCACTACCTGTGATTCCAGCTGCTTTTATTCACCACACCAGTAAATGTCACCAGGCATCAGTCCTCGCATTAACCGCCATCACGCTCAGGCTCCCGCGCAGAGTAGCTTCTTTAATAGCCAGCACCTGTGTCGACCTGCTTTAAGAATGTTTTTATTCTGGTTCACAGGCAGAGACACTGAAGAGTGGGGCAAATTTCTACACACTAAAAATAAGGTATGTGTTATTGTGATACTAAAAAGAATTCAGTCTGCTGAGCCATACTTGTTGTGATATTGTTGTTGTGGTTTTTCTTTACAGATCTACACAGACTTTGATGAAATCAGGCAAGAAATTGAGAATGAAACCGAGCGAATATCTGGGAATAATAAGGTGAGACGAGGGCTGAACATTTTCTAAAGCCCGTGGGGTCATTAAGGGTAAAATCATTATAGGATATTTCTTCCTTATTTTGCTTGTCAGAAACCCAACTTTAAACTGTGGGCCACCTACAGTCAAACTAGGAGTTAGAATAGAACAGAATAGAATAAACCTTTGTTATCCCACAGATGAGAAATTTGGGTGTTACACAGCTCTTATAGCAGCGGGAAATATAAAATATAAAAGGAAGACACAAAGTGATCCTATATACATAAGCAACTGAAGTTTGTATATACAGGTAACAATGTATAGAAAAAAATTGTACGGAGATATGAATAAAATG